TAACTTTCGAGGCTCCTCAGCTTCAGTCGTATGCATAAAGCATTCCACCGTAAAAAAGGGCCTTTACACCTTTGCGCTGCAAGCGTGTCGCTTAAATCACGTGCACGGCTTGTTCGTCCCGACACTTCATATAATATATCATCCAAACCTAAACCTACATTAATCGTTATAATTATTAATACAAAGACCGAATACTCAGAAAAAATTCCTTCAATCCGGCCGGATTCGAACCGACATCTTCTAGCATACAGTGTTTTCTGAGTGTTCGATCTTTGTATTAACAATTATAACAAACTACCGGAGTAATTTCACATGAAAATAACTGAATATCAATTAAATAAAAATTTAACTGCATTAATCGTTTTAATGTATAACTCGGTAATATAGAAACGTATATGATCGCAGATGTTGACTTTTATTATCAAATATACTTTTTAATTTTGTTACAAATCTTATCAAGATTTGTAACAAAAATAAGAAGTTGCACATTAGAAACATTATGTTACGACAATTTTGATGACTTTATTGACATCATGCGTAACGAAGCGCCAAGAATTTCCACTTCGGCAACCATCTAGGATAGACCTTAATTTCTTTAAGTTTTACCATATAGTTACTAAGAAACTTACAATGCACTAAGTCATTGTTAAGTTGGAAGAATATAACGCTCTAGCACGCGAGTATAATGTTTCAACTTCAAACAGAATATATATAATTTCATCGTTTCCATAATCGTTTAGACGATTTAATTGTTAGGTATTATCATGTTTTTTAATGTGATAGTTGTTTGTTATGTTTGTAATATAATAAACGTTTTAATGTGAAGAAAACATGTGGCGAGAGAAGCCAGTGTTTTATAATAAATAAAACATTTATAAAATTAATTATTCTTGATCGTTTCAGTAAATAACTAGGATTACATAAAGAACATTGGTATTCATATTTCTAAATATCCCAATATCTAAAAATCTAAATTTTCAAAAATCGTAATTTCTAAAAATCCATATTAGTTAATTGTAGAACAGTATATAACTGATCCTTGATTAAAACGCCAAACAACATTAAATAAAAAAATGTAGAATTTTTTAATTTGAATTTTAACAACTACTACATAAAGTGCAATACAGATAGCCTCTGTATAATTTGATGTTTGGTACAACAAGCGAGTAGCTACAATAAATGCTGATTCTTCATCATTGCATTAATATTAGATATAACTGGTTAATAACCTTACCATCACAGTCAACCGTGACTATGGGACCTGTAAAAGGCCCGAAACGTTGGTTTGTTTGAAAAAACAAATATGCGCGATTTAAATGCGGAAAAATAGTTTCATTTCCTATATGTAACAATCGCGAAAACCTAAGAACTCGATACATATTATTATAACTTTAAGCAAATGAAATACGGTTTAGATTTCTTTAATTTTAATAGAGTCTACACACGCTAACCACAAACAATATGATTAGTTCATATTATATCATATAAAATACATAGAGAGATCGTGTAATATAGCAACGCATTCGCTGATTGGCGTAGCTTCCTGGTTAGTGCATAACCGTTAATAGCGTGAAATTATTACGCATTGGGTGTGTTTTCGCTTTAAACACGCATATTTAAATGAGTTTACGTCCAAAACAGACACTTTTAATGACTGCATCTATTAATGTTTTTACTAACATTTAAAATTTACATGTAAAAAATTAATTAGTCAATTGTATTATATATTATTTTATAAAATATCCAATTTGCCTTGTATATGCATTTGAGAAATTGGTGAGTTTGATTTTTTTAAATAATATATTGTGACGGAATGAACAAGTCGTGCGCCTTGTGGTAAACTACACACCTGTCCATAACAGTTGCAGTGCCACTCTGAGCTTTTAATCGCAAAGATCTAAGGGGCACTGAAACTGCACCAGTCACCCTGAGACATAAGTTGACAAGTCCCATATGCCTGTAACTTCCCCAGCACCCTTCAAAACTAAACCACAATAATGCTGACGTTACTACTTGGCGGATTAAATAAGTAAGGTGGCAGTACTTCCCTGGACAAACTGTTTCATAAAGAGCTCTACTGCTACTAAATATAGATAGAAAACACCTAGGTGCTTTTTTATAATACCAAGGGTGCAAAATATGAATACCTATGTAAAATTGCATAAAAATTGGGAATTATTTGTCATGAGTATTTGACACGTATTTTATCGTATACTGACGTAATACAAAAACATTTTAAAAAACCAATTACAGTTCTGGAAAGATTAGATCTTCCTAGTTGTTCAATCATCAAAAGCATGATAATTATAACCATATCGACCCTGTAAAGTTAAAATGTCGTAAGGATATTTTGTCGTAATGGAAAATGTTCCTTACTACAAAATGTCGCTTACGACATTTCAAAATTCGATACATCAACGAAATTGTTACCCTTATATCTACGGTGGAAATTTGAAATGTTGTAGAGACATTTTGTCCTAAGGTCATTTTCCCTTACGACAAATTGTCCCTTACGACTTTTCAAATTTCCACCATCGATATATGTATAGATAGAGCAATTTTATAAGTATTTATAGTCAATAATAATGTGTACATAGTTCGCCTATGCTTTCTTCTAAAAAAAAACCAAGAAAGCAAGTCCTATTAGTTACAAGTAAAATGCTTGCGTACATACTAGCCAATGGAATTCATAGTATAGGTAGTAAGTAGGCACTACTACCGTCTAGCAGGCAATACACTTACCCAGGTGCTTCCTCACAAACTGGTTTACGTAGTTTGCCGACGGGCTAACGATCTCTGTTAAATAAAGACGATACCAAATTGAGGGCAAAACAAATTGCCGTACAATTTAATGGTACAATTTTAAACCATACAATTTATATCTTATTTGATGCCGTTGGTGATAGTGGTTCCTTGTTTTGACGAATAAAATATCGAAAAAGAAAACCCAGTATGGTTATTTCTTCTTTAATTTAATGTAGTTACTCCAACAAAAGCTATCCATTTAAAAGCGGCTTATAAAAATAATTTTATTTTGTTATATTTTGTAGATTTTTATGTACTGTCACACGGATCGTCCTAGATTAATTTTAGTTATAATTATATCAATGTTAACAAATTGTGAGAAATGAACGAAAAACATTTTGTTTAAAAAAAACATTTATTTTACGACAACGTGAAAAGTTACTTACATTACATTGCATTTGTTAGAGATGAGTGTATCGATAAAAAGTTTTCGATAATTTGATGACAAAATGAATATTCATTCTTAATGTATGAATTTTAAACATAGGCAATGAATGGACATGTCAGTGTTATTACTTTTTGAAACCAACAAATTATTGACATGATAAATGTTTTTAGATAATGAATTATAGTTGTATGTTTTATGCCTTCAATATAATAGAAAACACTTCACACATCTATACATCGTTCAGAATACTATACAATACAATACTCAGTACAGAGTACTAAAAAGACCGACCTCAAAAGTCATTCGTCTCCTAATTTGCCACCCCTGGAGGTGGAATACTTTCTCCAAATTTAAATTGGACCACTTCTGAGGTACTCTGTTTCCAACAAAAAAGAAACATCGAAATCAGTTTACAAAAGAGTTATCGCGCAACACACATACAAAAAAATAACAACATACCTACAGTCGAATTGAGAACATCCTTCTTTTTTGATGTCAGACTAAAATCTATCGGGTTTACCGCATCCCTATGACAAATCTCAAATGAAGAGTCACAGGATCATCCTAGTTTGTGTTTAGTATAGTAGTATATAATATTATGATTTTTGCCATTGCTACGATATATTTTAACTGCCTCCGTGGCCGAACGATTACCACGCCGGACTGCCACGAAGAGGTCTCAGGTTCGATTCTCAGGCCGGGAGAAATATTTGTTTGACCTACATTTATTTAGAGGGCTTTATAAAGAAGGGCAGAGGGCACTTATTCTTTAAATAAATATAAATCTAAAACACGATTATACAACCTTAAAAACTTAAAACATGCTAGCTATTGCTAATAAATAGCATTTATTATTATTTACTTCATCTATATATCGTCTGTTTAAAGGTAAAACCACATAAGTGACATTTTCCACAAAAAGTCTTTAATTTATATAGCTATGGTAAGAAAACCACTATCTTTCTGCAGGTGAAACTCAATAACAAAAAAGCTATAAACTCAATAAAAGTTTTATCTGCAGAAAGATGGAGATTTTTTACAACAGGTACATAATTTGGAGATTTTTTTGTGGAAAATGTCTTTATCTAGTTTTACATTTAAGAGGGAGCAGAGGAAAAATTTCTAATCTTCGATTTGATTTTAGAGGGGTATCTCCACTTTAAAGTTAAAAATAAAATATTGTATGAGTAACTACACGATATATTTAAGCATAAACATTAATCAGAAACATAAAACAATAAAGTTTCCTCGATAGATAAAAATCACGAAATGATCTCTAATTTTCAAATTTTTTCGATTTATCCTCGAAATGCTACAGGTTATTAGGACAAAAATTAGATAATTCATTATATTTATGCATGATCGACAACTGTCACTACGGTTTTTTTTTCATCCCTTTTGTTTTAGAGTTATTTCGCTAAAACGAATTTGGTACTTTTAATGCGCAAAATTCAACATCTCCTGTCGCATGTCACGCGAACTTCAGGCATATATTTGGGCGGAGTCAACGTCAAAACTTTTTTGGCACGAGAGCTCTTAAGTAGACGATATTAATTATAGCATAGCAATATGATTATTTATATTATATACGAGTAGTAATATATTTAACTATTATCGTTTAACATTTATCTTTGAAATTTGATTTATGAACACATTGCAGTCACTATAAATATTTTAGTACCTATTTATATTTGGAATATTTATAATTAATTTTAGATGACATAGGTGCTGGTTTCATAAATGTTGACAAATTTTCTACAAAGATTTAGAGGACTAATTTATAAAATTGCTTTGTAATTTGTTTCAGGCAGTAACCAGTGACTAATGCGGTGGTTGGGTTGGCGAGGATGCGCGAAGAGGAGCTCGAGGTAGCCCTCAAGGTGGTGATCGTTGGCGATGGAGGTGTCGGCAAGTCCAGCATGATCCAGCGCTACTGCAGGGGCACCTTCACCAGGGACTATAAGAAGACTATTGGGGTCGACTTTCTTGAACGACAGATTGAGTTAGTAAATCCGTTTAAATCTCCTTCATTATACATCCAAAATAAACAGCGATTCTAAGCGCTTTAGAGTGGCTTCTTCTATAGAATAAATAAATAAAATAAAATAAAAAACACGTCTGCTATTACAATAGTGTTGTAACTCAAAATATGTGAAATTGTGATTATATCATGACTGTACGTAAAATTGGATTATCTGCACATCAATAAAACCGTCGTTAGAATATTGTAATAAACAATAAACAAATATCTACTTAACTCAAAATGAGACAAACTTTATGTGAGCTAGTTCTGTTTGGCAACCAGGAAATTGTTTAAATGTCTCGAATAAACTTTAACCTATACATCAGTTTCAATGATCTTTCACGGGAAGAGAGTAATTCGTTGTTTATCTATTCTGAAAAAATACACTTGTATTAACAGTGTGATTTATTATATACTATTGAAAAATTCATGAGGTCCGCTGGTTCGTTCCGTGGCTTAGTTAGTATAGCGTCTGGCACGGTATGCTAGAAGACGTCGGTTCGAATCCGGCCGGATCAAAGGAATGTTTTCTGAGTGTTCGATATTTGTATTAATAATCATTACATCTATTTACCAAGTTTTATTGAAATCGGTTACCGGACAGTTTTTTTATAACATCAAGTGACGCTGGCGAACAAGTCGAGCACCTGATTGTAAGCTATGCGCCTGTCCGTAACAGTTACATTGCCACTCAGAGTTTTAAATTGCAAAGATCTGAGGGCACCACTGCACCCGTCACTCGGAGCCATAAGTTGACAAGTCCCATGTGCCTGTAATTTCACCAAAGTGCGCGAAACCTTTCTTCAAATGGGACCAATACTGAGGCATCCTTTTTCAAAATCATGTTATCATATAACATACATACAAAAAACTACATTCGAATTGAGCGCCTCGTCCTTTTTTCGAAGTCCATTAATTAGTAGTGTAGACTCGGCTGCAGGAGCGCGTTTATAAGCGTCTAATTCGAAGGCGCCCTTAACCTAAACTTAAAAATGTTATGCTGCTAGTGACTTTAATTGAGACCTCTATATGTTCTGTGTAAAGGGTCAAATAATATACCTTTTTGTAAATATTCCAGAATTGACGGCGAGGACGTCCGGCTAATGCTATGGGACACAGCAGGGCAGGAGGAATTCGATGCCATCACGAAGGCGTACTACCGCGGCGCACACGCTTGTGTCCTTGCCTTCTCCACGACAGACCGGGATTCGTTTCTCGCGCTGCACTCATGGAAATTAAAGGTATTTTTTTTTTTGTTGTAATCATTGACTTACAAGTTGTAATTAAGAGGCCATATAACCTCAAATGGCTTTGGTTGTTTCCGCATAACAGTGAAAGTGTTGAATCAAATTATTAATTATATTAATTGTGTGGAAAACATGTAGTAAAATTGAGGATATACATTTATACAGTGTGAAAACACGATTTCTAAAAAATTTAACGATAGAAAAAAAAACACAAACTTACCTCGACTTTACATACACTAAAGATTTTTTTTTATATATCAACTAAATCGATCATGTATGATCCAATGGCTATAATTTCGACTGTAAAAAAGTTAATTCTGAAATATAGCCAGTGTTCCTATCGCTCAACCCAAGCAAAATGAACCGTTTAAATACGGGAAAAATTTTAATTTGAGCCGAGGTAGTATTGTCTCTTATTCACTCGTGGAAATTCAGTCACACTCCAGCTTACAGACATCTCGCAAGGAGGACATAAAAATAATAAACATTCTCAACTCAGTACTGGTAGGAAACTGTGAAAAGTATATAACCTTGGTAGCCTAACGGTCTACATTGTGGTAACGGTGGGCATTGGACGCGGAAGTCCCGTGTTCGATTCCCGGTAGGACCAATTTGGGGAAATGAACTTTTCTAAATAGTCTGGGTGTTGTGGTAAGCGCCCCAGAATTCCGTTTCTCTAGTACTCATAACACAAGAAATTCCCTAGTTTGAGACCAGGCAATTGGTGTGGTTGTGGGGATAGTACCTAAATGTCAATGATTGTATCCTCACGAACAGCGTTTGTTACTTAGCTACAGTAAACTGCAGTGTAGGTTTGTGACGGCTGGCCGGTAGCAATACACTTGATTCTGTCACCTACGATTTAAAGCAGCGAGATAGTTGAAGTGCCTATACAGGTGTAATCGTTAAATATAAGAGATATGAAAAACCTTTATACTAATATCGAACATACGTGACGGAGGCTTTACTTTAAGAGGTAACAATAATAACAAAAAACAAAGTTTATTTTTATGTAAGTACAAAATTTTCTATTCAAAGCATTGGTTCGAAACTTAAAGCCTCTATACGAATGTCATATTAAATTATAACAAACTAGTGGAGTAATTTCATAAAAAATAAATGAATATCAATTCAATAAAAATATAATTTATTTAGAAAAGTTACATAAATAAATATTAGACAACATCAAATGCGTTGCTCCGATCCCAAAGTAACTAAAGCGCATTGTAGATCGGAAACAACGACAGTATGAAATAATCGTCTGGGCACACTTAACGATTACACCCTGTATATGCTTAAAATTGTTTCGATAATTAGGTACACACCCACGTAATCAGACACTTATAGATAATGAGGTCGTGTCTGAGAACAAACGCATTATATTAATAAACATACACAAGTAGTTCCTCTTGATATTAAGTATGCGTAGAGCGCAATAGACACTACGACACTTTATTAAATGCCATTTGATGATGAACCATGTGACATATGCAAAAGATTGAAAAATCTTTAGAGAATCTTCAATATACAGCAGTGGAGCTCCTTGTGAAATAGTTCGTCTATGGAAGGGTAACCGATCACAAAGACGAATTTCTTTTTTCCGAATTAACGTTTGTTCGAATTTTTATTACATCGAAAACCGAATTATAAACGGAACCGTTGTTCTTTCAGGATATGTTGGAAGTTTATCGCAAAAACACGATTAGGTTTGGTTAGGTTAAGTTAGGTTTGAAATAAAAAACATTTTCCTCTCAAAATTACTTTCGAGGTTATGAAAATTCGGGCAAACGTTATTTCTGGAAAATGTCATTTCGAACTACTGATAGTTAACCCTAAGGAAGTGCTGCCGTCTTACTTATTCTTCCGCCAAGTAGTAATGTGAGCATTACTGCGTTCCGGTTTCGAAGGGTAAGGTTGAAGGTGAAATTATAGGCGCATGGGACTTGTCAATTTATGTCTCAAGGAGACGGGCGCAGTGGAAATGCCCCTCCGACCATTGCGATTCAAAGCTCTGAGTGGCACTGCAACTGTTATGGACAGGCGTGTCGCTTACCACCAGGTGCACGACTTGTTTGTCCCGACACTCGATATTATTATTTTTTTAAATGAAAAAAGAAATAACAAATTTTAAGCGTCATTTTAGCTTTACTTTCCATCACGTTACAGATTGTCAATTATACAAGTTGCCAGTAACACATTTATGTTATCAAATTATTTATAACAAACATCGGTATGTTTAATGTTTAAGTTTTTCTCGTCTTGTCTATACAAGCTTGCTGCTCCCACCCACAGTGCTTGTCGAACCATTATCTCGTGAAGATGCACACAACTACTTCTGCATTGTTCTTAGTTATTTTCCTGATTTCCGTCTTCAATAAATCCAGTTCCTACAATACGAATAAAAATTATGGAGAAATAGAACGGCAGTGCATAGATTATTACCAAACGGGACACGATTTTATTTTAGAAAGCCTTGTTGGTAAATGGTACGCCGTGTACATGTGGCCAATGCGTACGCAGCAAAGGGACAAATGTATTGAAATAACCTTTAAGAAGTTGTCCATGCAAGAAATTACAAATACCATGTACGGGTGTCAAATAAACTTAACCGGAGAAATCGTTATACAAGGATCTTATAAAAATATTGGAGGGAAAATTACAACTGTCACTTATTATGGAGATGACGAAGAGAAACGTTTGTTTCGAGCGTGTGATAATATTTTGAAGTATATTTTTATACGGATTAGTGACAATTACGTTCTGGGTATAAATTGCTCGTCACAGGGGAGAGGGATTTTGTTTTCTAAGTTCCTACCAACGAAAGAACAAGTGGACTTTGTTGTCTCTGGTATCGAAATTATGAGAGGTCGAGAAGGGAGACCCGATTGTGAACTCGCTTGATTTTTTTAATGAATAATTATATTATATAACATCATTAACAGTGTTATTACAAGATAAAACAGTGTACTTAGTTTTCTATTATTACAAAATTATGTTTATTTATATATTTACAAAATTATGAAAAATTTAAATTATGATTTCTTAATTTGACTACAGAAAAGTATGAATTTAAAAAAATACATGTTTTGAGAAAACTCGTGACCAGCCAGTGATGTAAATAAAAAACCGTACAATTATGTATTTAATTCTTGTTTTAAATCTATAAAAGCGACCAGCAATTACAAAAAGGTAAAACTAAAATGACTCTACATTTATAGTTCACAAGTACAGACTCAAAATTCTGTGGAAAGTTTCCTTTATAGTTCTCTTGTAGGAGATAACTATAAAGGAAACTCTTAGTTTCTTTATTGTCATAAATGTCTACAAAATTACCTATAGAATAAATAGGATTTTATTTATTTACACCCGTTTGTTACCTAACTTATTAACTTCTTAAAGTATCGATGGTACACAGTATAATGGTTGCCATTCGTGGTGAAAAGTTTGGCCAATCGGCGTAAGGTATTCGTCGATTGTTGCCCAGGGTCCGTCAAACGTACAGGAAAAGTGATGGCACATTGGCACGGGGAGGCTTCTTTCGTGCACCGTTTCTACTTATTAATTAAAAGTATTAAACAAGACTATCTCAATTAAATCCCGTTCTATTTCAGGTGGAGAACGAATGCGGGGAAATTCCCACGATAATAGTTCAAAATAAAATAGATCTGATGGACCAGTGCGTCGTCGGGCCGTAAGTACCTACTTCCTTTTTTCTTTCTTTTTTTTCTATAACGCAAACCCCGCACGAGGAAAACCCCTGTGTCGCGGGTGCCATGGACACACACAGAGACAGCCGCAAATGACACCCAAACTCACGAGAGAAATAAATGTAAGCCATACAAATATTTCCCCCGGCCCGGGAATCGAACCTGGGACCTCTGCGTGGCAGTCCTGTATGGCAACCGTTCGGCCACAGAGGCAGTTAAAATTTCAGTAAAAGTGCTATCGAATAATTAAAACCTGAGAATATTAGCTTTTAGGGAGTCATCACACTAAATACCGGTCGGAATAGTTATTTGTTATACAAGGCAGCAAAGTTGTTGTTTGACGCGAGTGCTTGAATTGAAACCTGAGGAAGCGAAGGGCGTTAAGATTGAAAAATAGAATCCTGAGCGTAGCGACAGTTTCAAGGCACAAGACGCAAAACAACTTTCCTGCCGAGCGAAACACACAACTTTTCACCTCACTACATCCAGGAAAATGGTATATGAAAGAAAAACAAATCATAGGAAATGAAACTATTTTCCGGATTTAAATCGCGTAACAATCGCGAAAACCTAAGAACTCGATATATAACAAAGCACTTTTATTCATTCATACATAAAAAATAATTTAATAAACAAACTTAGTTATCGTTGTCAATTTAATATCAACAATAATAAGAATACAATATACCAACGGAATTATCTTACATAAATAATATACGACAAATCGCGTAGGCAGTTAAAACGTGTCATTGTTTTTTTTTCATTGAAAGAAAGTTGCACCACAGTAAGTCAAGTTCGAAAAAATGCTTTTACACGCGGATTGGTAATGAGAATTTTTTTATTATTAATAATTTTGGCTTGGATACAAGTCCTTTGAGCCATGTCTTCGTATAATTATGTTTCTGTAAATATGGCCGCCACAAAGAGGATAGGCAATTTCAGACGGCGTGCTTGGATTGACTCGGGATTCCTTATAACGGGCCGATACGGGTATTTTATTTCGAGATTCGCATAATTTCGCTTTAATCTTCGATTAAGGCACAATAGCAGTATCCTATTCCACTTTAAACTAGGTTTCACAAAATAATTGAAAGTCAAAATTAAAACGAGACTTTTCCCTCCAAAAGGCCCAGAGCGAATCCGTAATGAGAAAGAAAGCCTTTCCGAGCTAGAGATGTGAATGTCCTTGTAAAAAGACCGAAAAAGTTGTTGCGCGTTTTGCATCAGCAGTCTTAGCTGAATAATATTTCTTGATGGCTAAATAATAATGAATAAATAATTAATAAATTGCGACGCCTACGCAAGCGTAGCAACATATTTCTGGGATCTTAGTAGGTAGCTACCGACGGCAGCACATCAAGCTACAAATTGGCGAATCTAGTTCCGTTTCACAGGAGGCGATATTCGAACTAAAGTATATGTATGACTTGACGTGCTGTTGACGAGTCTATACAACAAATGATCTTGATTGATTCCGCGTTACAGTGAAGTGTTGAATCAATCACTTTGAAAAAAAAAATAGTAAAATTGGGGATATACACTGATTAATATTCGGTGTAAAAACACGATTCCAAAATCTTATCTCGGAATTTTACAACAAAACCGCTGTTTTCAATAGGTACTTTACATGTACCAATGATTTATTTTATATCAATTGAACTAAATAGAACACGTATAGTATACGATACACATTTTTCAAATGGCTTTAATTTCGTTTGTAAAAAAAATAAATTCTGGAATAAAGGCAGTGTCCTTACCGCCCCACCCTTATCGATACACGCAAATTGAACCGTATTAGTACGGGAAAAAATTAGAATTCGAGCTGAGATAGTATCGACTATTAAGATACAGAAATATTACTTAGGTATTTTTACATAACCTTTTTACACTATAATGTGTAAAGTGTGAAGAGCACGTCAAGTTTGACACAACACTTGAGATTTAAATTCAACTCATTCAACTCAATATCGCTCACGATAAGACGATGACGTGCTCTTAATTATACTAACAACGCTATTTATGCAATAAACACTATATAAACAGCTATCAGTGGAAATGTAAATGCAAACAATGTATCCGTATAAGATAATAGGTACAAAACTGATTTTTAAACAATGAACTAGGTACCACGACGCACAGACAGAAACCAAAACAAGGAATAGGGGAACCACCACACTTAACGCAGAATGGGCTTAAGTTGTCCAGAGAAAGCATTATCTATGTCCATCCAATAATTATAAAATATAATTTATTTTGACCAACTTGGATCAGACAATACACCAGAATAACATAAATAATAAAATAATGAACCAAAATTAGATATAAAATTCAAATTATTTATTTAAAGGAAAATTAATAAATGATATATAAGTACCAGGCAAAATTTAAACACAATTTTAACTTTGGTCAATAAATGAACCATGTTACAGTGGTTCATTTACTGACAATCAATACGTTCAGCAATACCATCAGGATACTGTTATGGCTGGCCCGCACCCTACGCATCAGGAGTATGCACCGCGCGCTTCTGCGAACATCCCGGATTCACTGCAGAAACGAGACCAGAAATAAGAGCGTTGTGCGTTTCGCGTCGGTGATCCGAACGTAAGCGTAACGCGCTACACCGTTTTCGCTTTTAATGCATGGACATAAAGGTTTTTCTGATCGGCTCAAGCCGATTCCGCCTTAATAAGTGTAGTGACTCCCTAAGTTCACTTCACATACCTATAATTTTATTTTTTGAAAGATAATTATTTGTCGTTGGCTATTGATGGACGTGACTGCGCCACCAGAGAAAAGGGGCGAGCTGAGTTTTTAACCGACATAATAATTGAAGTAGTCGCCCTGAGGCGCTTAGCACGGACTTCAGCGTAGGACGTCATTCGACACTTTCACAGAAGGGCGTGTTAGAATCTATGTGAATGTCTCTCTTTAGTCGGAGACGTACAATAACAAGTAGCTTCGCTGTGTTATTTACAGAGATGAGGCGGAACTAGTGGCGCGAGCACTCGGCTGTAGATTGATGCGGGCGTCGGTAAAGGAAGACGTCAACGTGGGGGCTGTCTTCAGGGCACTCGCAGCTCGATGTCTAGCCGACATGAGGCGGGAAGACGCTGCTGCTGAAAACGGGCTGGCACTTAACGTCGCCCCTGTTATAGGTAGGTAAACATATATACATCTTTTTATATATAATATCAAGTGACGGGGTGAACGAGTCGTAAGCTTGATGCTATACGCCTGTACATAACAGGGAAGTACTGCCACCTTACCTATTTCTGCCGCCAAGCAGTATTACTGTGCATTACTGTGTTCCGGTTTTGAAGGGTAAGGGTGCTGATGAAATTACAGACACATGGGTGTTGTCAACTTATCTCAAGGTGACGGGCGCAGTAGTATTGCTCCTCAGATCTTTGCAATTTAAAGCTCTGAGTGGCACTGTAACTTTATGGACATGCGTGTACCTTACCGTCAGGCGCACGACTTAAATAAAAAAATAGCTGCTCGAGCAGTCCTGGTATGGCCACCATTAGTGTAAGCGACAACAAACAAATTTTGCAGGAGAGGGTTTTTTCAAATATTTCTACATGTGACATGAAATTGAATTTTAATCTATAATTACGAATTTCGTAATCGATTGTGTAACAGAAAATTTTTTTTTTTAACAATGGATGTTAAGCCTTTTTGGCGCTTACAATATTTTTGCTATCTTTATCTAAAGATTTTTGAGGCTTTCAGGCTTTTAAGATAATTGCGATTAAAAATATTTAACAACTGTTTATATTGACGACGAAATTGTGATGTCCTTTTGGTTGCGGTAACAAGCGGGGTCGCTTATGTTATGATTTACACTCGGAAATCGATTGCGTAGTCAAATTCGAATCCAAGAAAATACGAATATCGCTTTCTAGAGATAAAACGATCCCTGTGATCCATTTCGGACCATCATTTCTCGGATTCGGACCTGCAGCTTGATTGTCATTGCCTCTCCCGATCGGAAACTGAGTCTCGTCAGAGTCGAGGCGCATAATTGCGATTTACAACTGGCCGATCGGAAACTTTTGACATTTCTAATCGGAACAATAGTTGATTTAACTCACAAATTAGAAAGATGTAGTGGGGATCAGCAGCTTGATTTTGATTGCCTCTCCCGATCGGAAAGTGCGCCTTTTCCGAGTTGAGGCGTATAATATTGCGGATGGGTTACCCGATCGAAACGATCCCAATTTGAATTACAATCAGGACGCTGATGCGAATAGAACGTAGTGCGTAAACGCTCTTATATTAGTTTAAATTATCATTTTCAATAAAAATTTATGTTTAGGTAAAAATGTCGCCTATTATAAGTCGGCGGTCGTGACGATTTCAAGTGTTGTTTACCAATTAAATTTGAGAAATTCGTTTCTCTAATAGTGATATCAGTTGCATTGTAATTTTTTACATGATATTTACGAGCTTTTTTAATCCAATTTCCAGGTAACTTTACAAATCATAACAGCAACGGCACGATCCTACTGCGACCGACAAAACACCGGCCCGGGGGTAAGAAGAAGAACGTACTCAAGAACGCCTGTAGGATATTGTGAGCGCCATACATTGCAGTTTCCTAACGGAAAACGCAGTGGACTTTATCCAAGTGATAATTAATCAACATCAATAGTTTATTTTTGGACATTCCCGTAATGAGTGTAAAGGTGACTGCGCATTCGTAACATACGCGCCGAAGCTGATGACGTCATCAACATTTTCGTATTCTAAATGAAATTGCTTATATTTGTCAACCATTTTGCGAGGCGAATGCCAAAATACGTTTCACTTCCAACAAAACTTTTTTTTTTAATTCTTCGATTGATTTCGAAATTCTAAAAAATATTTTGCAAGAAATAGAGAACAATACTGCAATGTGTTTCCGTTAGCGCCATCAGCAAATAACAACTTCCAATAATATATTAATGTAAATAGTAGTAGCATTGTATAAACATTTTGCATGTGCAATCAATTTAGATATTTAGTACATAAGTAGTTAGCACTCTATATACTTGCTATAAGTGGAGTTTCTTCTTATATTTTATAAGCTTCGTTATTGTGTAAGGGAAAATATGAAATCTTAGTCATTTTTGTAAGTGCAAAAATTACAATCAATTTTTGTAAATATTTTGTATCTATACTCTTTTGTTTTACGGAGAAACAATAAATTATTTTTTCATAAGGTTTTTATTCTTGCTCCCCTGTATTGACGCCTAGGATAGTCATGCAAGCAAATTTTGAATAAATAGAAATTAAAACTATTTTTTGGATCTAATTGATTCGCGTATATTAGTTTTTTTTTTTTTAAAAAACCATAGTTTCGGGCCCATTGTCGGGTAATTCATTCATAATGTAGTAAATCCAATACCAGTTATGTGTATCTAATATTAGAACTTATCTAATGTTAGTTTATTTGAAAAAATAAATATACGCGACGAATATACTTCACTTGTAGTTCTACATTATATACAAGAAGAAGCCTGAAAACCAGCAAACTGCAAAGGTTGTCACCTATTATCAACACAGCCATTTACTTGAAGCCACTATTTTAAGTTTTTTATGTGTCGTTGTAGTGTTGAAGATACAGTCTTTTTTATTTTTATTATATTAGATACGAAAAATAGTTTTACTTCGTTTGTAGTATAACAAGGAGTGTATGGCCCTCGAAAATGTATTTGAATAGCCTTGCCGATATGATTTAATTCCGCCTTCCCCTTTCATCATCCGGGGACTAGACGTAGGCAGGTGCTCGACCCTATGTTTTGGATATTCCAAGGATTAGTACGTTTCAAAGAGTTCCACATCGCATCATTCCTGCTTGCAGACTTATTCCCCAAAATTAATTTTTAGGCCTTATGAGAAGTGAGACTCTGCAATAGACATGTGTCGCGGGTGCCAAGGACAACACTCATGACAGAAATAAATGTGGACCATACAAATATTGTATGTGTATGTACTGTGCATGGCAGATTAACATGATAATCGTTCGGCCACGCAGGCAGTTCAAGGATGTAAGGATAGGTTCTACGGCTTTAGCAGGACGTCTCTTTCTTTGTCACCCGATCATGTTGTTAATTAAAGTTAGAAATCAAAATAAATAGTGATTAGTGATAGTTATATTTCAAAACAATGCGGTTTAACCAATTTTAAAATAGCCATGCAGTTCACAATTTAGTTCTACCGCAAACTGACAGTGTCATTATGACTGCCAACACCCATGATATTATAGCCAATACTAAATTATTAATTAATACATTTTTTATAATGCCAAATTGACGAACAAATCAAATTTTCATTAGAAACGTTTGTACACAATAAAATTTTTATTATAAAAATTTTTCCCTCGAAAAGCATATTGGACAATTTAATAAATCACTTGAAAAAATTATTACTGAAAATTTTATGCAAACATATCCTGTCATAGTTTAAGCATCAGGACTTAAAGTAACTACACAGGCGGCATTTTCGTACGCCGAGCCGTTAGATGCTATACTAATCGAATACGGCTAAATCCAACGACTCCACCACCACCTTAACGCAAAAATGTTACTGCGTTCAATATTAGATACCAGTTAAGTTTAAGCGAAAAATAAGTAGAGAACCTACGCAAAGACTGACCAGTTAAAATTGAACCTTGAAATGGTAGCGTCAAGTTGCCATTTACTTCAATGATCTTGTTGTGAATGGAAGAAATTAGTGTTTTAAATTTCCGTAACATGACGAGGTTCACAATTTAATTCGTCAATCGGTAGAAATATTTTCTTACTGCGTAAATTATAATCAGGTTGAGAGTATCATTAATTTTACTAACTTTGTTCATATAGCTACAGGCACTAAAAACGGTTAAAGAATTCAAACATTTAAATCACTAGGTTTTTTATAATATTGCCCACAATGAATACAAAAAGCATATACTAAACGTAAGTATCACATCTCTGAATAAACTTTTTTACACAGTCGTTCTACTGAAGTTAGAAATACATATCGGCCTTCTTCTGACAAACTGTCATATCTGACGTTTTCGTCGTAACTCAGTAACACCATAGTATATAATAAGACAAGTAGTGTAACTTACACAAATGTATCAGCGCGACTCGTGTTCGTGCACGCCGGCCGCGCGGCGTGCACGAACGCACACATTCCCATAATCTCGCAGTGCACTCGCGTTGCACAGTACGGATCGCAGGCTATTCATTACAGAATTGACGCGTTCCCTCATGTTTAAAATTATTACAATACTTTACTGTGTCAAATTTAAATATTTTTTTATATGTCGGAAGCAAGTTATCACTTCAAACGTACTTTTTAGATAAACGATTTACTAGGCTACCTACGAATCATTTTAACTAGTCTCGATGGTTTCTTTGCTTACAAATTTAATGACACGTTAATTTGACAGCTTAAACTGGGTATGGTCGGAGAGAGGGGGTTTTGAGTGTAAGTTGCTTGGATAGTGAAGGCGTGTACCGCCTCGCTCTCTCTGAACTTGCCGCGTGATATTTTAGAATCCGTTTTAACCTAATCCAACTCTTATACTTTTGGACTAATTACTGTAAAAAGTGCATTAAACTACTAATTGCAATCTATTGACGTTACTATTGCACCGCCTGCTGAACGAATTGATAACAAAGAGTGAATAAGCCGATTCCTGAGTAAATCTGTGTTGAGGGTGTTTCTCACGACGTCGTCCATTCCGGCCTTAACTCCGACATAATATAATTGAATCGTTACGTTCAAGAAACAAATTCGCGAACCTGGTATAAAAACATTAATACGCAAAGTACTGTATTTAACAAAGTTTATTCCAATATAGCACGAGAATACAATGATGAATACCTTAATTTTTTCAAATTATGTTTATCTGTAGGAACAAATAAAATAATAAAGTGACAACTCTACGGTCCGAGTGAATGTAGGCAATAGCTTTACACAGACACTATCGCGCATTATACAGCAATCGTGCGCGATTGAGCGCGCGTGTCAAGATGTTGCAAGGAAAATGGAAAGTGCGTGCGATCGCGCTCAATAGTCACGCGCGCACTAAAGAACGTTAGTTTAAAAAACTTCAAGCACGCGTGCAGGCTTTCCTGCGCGCAATCCTGTACGCACCCGATCACGCGCGATAGAGTAACTGTGTAAAGGGAGCTATTGACGAGGCTAGTAAGCGGGAATTACACTACTCGTCTTATTATACTGTGGTAAAGCATACGGTCTTACTATAGTTTCAAGACATAATAATCCAGTAGTCAGAAACTTTTTTATTAATTTACATAACTAATTGGTAGAACGAGGTTAACACGAGCTAAAGCTCAAAATGTGAAGTGCCAAGCTGAAAATTCGTCGCCCAATGTCATATATGGCAATTAGTCAGAAAAAGAACGATGTAATAATGTACATTAAATTTGACAAGTTAGCAGAGACAGCGCAATATATGTGTCACTTTAACTCAATAATAAAAAACACACGACAACGAAAAAAACGACGACGATACGATCTGATGTTAAAGCGGTAGCTGCGGTGAAGCGACAGATACTGGTTCAAGCCCAGTCGGATCAAAGGGATTTTTCTGTTTGTTCGAACTCTGTATCAATAATAGTAACTTTTTTCGAGGTTACATTTGCAACTTCTTATTGGGGGAGAGATACGCCTCGCTAACTTGCCCTTAGCATGAAATTGTAATATTAAAAAATGTTCGATGACATCGACATGTGAGGTAGAAATCTTGTTACAAAACTTGAAATTTAAGATTGAGAATTCCTCGTAACTGATAGATTAAGTTAAACGAGGCTATCGCCACACGCATAATTTAATTAGAGAATTGAACTTCACTACATATCTCATGTATTCTATAAAGAGAGCCACCACACTTATCGGTACGGAATTTCATTAGCCTGGTCATAAAAAGAGGGAAAAACATGTCAGAGTGGTCCGAGCGAAAGCGACACGCACAAGATTTTTTCGCTTCTGTTGCATGGACAAAACTTTTTCTGACCAGCTTAAGCCGAAACCGCTAATGGGCGACTCCTAACACACTCGGGGTTACAAATCTACGATCACACAATTTGTCTTTATTGCTTAAAACGTTTACGCTACAGATGGTAACATACATACGTGCTCGTGAAAGGCATCACTCTCCCTTCGGCATCGAGTTTATAACCAGAAATAGAAACGAAATAAAGGCCATCCATCGCTGAGTTATCAGGCAAATGGGCCTTACATCACTTTTAAATATTAATTCTCGTTTGATTTAACACTGAAATCACAAATTAGAAAGCTGAAATAGTACAGCGCCAACAGCTGACCTGCGTATACTTTTCCGTATATTCCAAAAATATTCTGTATTTATTGTAATAAAGATAATATCTCTAATAATGGGGAGCTGTTCCATTCGGTGGTGTGGGAAAAACAGCTCTAATTACAGAACAAACGGAATCACATTTCATCGGTAATTAAACATTCAATATATAATCTTTGCATTATCGTCCATTATAGCAAAGCTCAAGTTAAAATGGTCGACTTGAAGTGAAACTTTTGACGACACCCGTCACTTGTTTCGAATTCGGGCTGGCCAATCGGAGTGCATTTGTCACCGTAATGACTTCGCAGAATAGTTTTCAAACAAATTAAATGACATTTCGTCTCTATTCGTGGTTTTCGTCTCAACTCGATACCCTTTGGCTTCGCAGCAGTCGAATAAGAGAATACACAAATATACGGAACTAAGGATACGACCAATTCCACACAACAACCAATTCGCTCTGATAGCTTTACTTCAAAAGCTAAGACGGTCGTACTGTCGGGTGAGCTTCTAGGATTTTCTGACACACTGGGAGACACGTGGTGTCCCTAACAATTTTGGTAATTTTGAATTTTGGAAACACAGCTCCGCGTTAGAGACACCGTGTATCCGTAGGACGCATGACGAATTAAGCAACTTGAAACAAAATAACGTGACAATTAACAAATTGTCACTAGTGAATTGAGATAATGAAAATGTTGGCATCATTCCATTAGGTGAGTGCACGATAATTAATTGTTGTACAGTGTAGAAATTCTTTTCGATAAGTTTTAGACGATATCCCACTCAATTTGTACTAATTTTATTCAAATTATCTAGTTTCGACTTTACCTATGGTGCAGGGTGAGCGGCGCACAAGGGCGCGAGTCTTATTAAAACGGGTATATCATCATTTATAACTTCACCATTTGCACCCGAACTTCCGATCACTGGGGAAAATATAACTGTAAGTATGTCATTTTGATCGCGTGTATACTAGAGGCTGCTAGGGTATTGATTGCACCCAGGCGCTACATGCCTGGTGCTGGCAATCTGGACTTCAAATACAAATCCAAAGTTATGGACAATTATATAGAATGTCCTGTGAATGCATAAATCAAGCAACATCCTAGAAGGTCATCGACAATGCTTTTCCATTCTAGTGTCACCGTAAAGGTGTCACCACACTTATTAAGCGGAATCAGCTCGAGCCGGTCAGAAAAAAAATAAATCCACGCAGTTAAAGTGAAAAAGACCACGCGATTCATTTCCGCTTGCATCGTCATAGCAAAACGTACGTTTTTTTGCTCTTATTACATGGATATGAAGTTTTTTCTGACCGTATTTACGGACGCCCTAAGATTCTTTAGCAAAGCGATTGTTCAATGTGGAAATTCATGGTTAATTATACCCGCTATACTACTCATCCGATTTAAACGAAATTCAACATCGCACCCGACAATAACCGGAGGTCAGATGTCTGAATAGTGGAACACGCACCTTAAAAACTAAGAAAAATTATAAAAAATAGTGAAAGATGCTTAGAAACTTTGACAAATTTATTAAGTCCCGAAGCCTTTCTAACTTAAGAAACGACATCAAAAACACACAATGGATTTTTTTCAATAATGGAAGATAAAACAATTGGAATGCTTGCTCAGTGCATACATTGTACACACCTGTCCTGTTTTCAATATGACGTAGATGTCAAATCAAAGCCAATAACGATTAACGATAAAAACGATTCTATTTGGTTTATCTTCCTTGAAAAAAAAATTCTAAGTATACACATTATCACATTTGCCAAAGCTTGTAAACCACCATGATGTGGACGTAGGAATGAATCAAGATTATTTCTAAAAGACGTATTCGTAATATTTAATAGAAAATAGATCACAAGACATATCTTCTTTTCAATAAAAAAAACGAAATGTTTGAGAATACAGGACATGCAATAAACAATTCTATTGACAGCACAATTATTCTGGCAGTTTACAGAAATAAACGAATACAATTATGTTAATGTATATGTATATTAATTAAAATCTTACCATAAGTATAGTAAGTATGTTACAACTATCATTTATACTGTGGTATATAAACTGGTACTGTATAGCGTGGATATATAGCAACCGACAAAATCCCTTTCATTCCTAGTCCCCGAAACAAAAGAATGCTGGCAGTGCCAAAAAATGGAGCTAAATATTTAGCTTACTCATACATTCCTCTACTCACGAATAAGAAGTAACATTAAGCTTTGCAAAGTACTCTAGTAAGCCCTGTAGGCGTTTCTTGACTCTCTTTTGGTCATCCAAAGTGCATCCCAAGATTGCTGTCTCAAAGTTCTTGTCCGTGCCAGTGCTGGGATCGGGTAGTGAAGTGCATGCGTTCATGTACGTTTGACACCTAGTGTGTGCTATGACAGCGTCTTCCTGCACCGACATTACTAGTTGATCGATGTACATGTTCACCTGGAAGCAGTTGTGAAAAAAAGCCATTTAAGGCGAGGTATTTCAAGTATTTCAATGCGAGCCTAGATTTTAGGATGTGAGGTGGGGAACAAGCACCCTATGGCGACTGACGGGGCAGCGGGTGGCGCGGCGTGTCGTTAAACCGCTGGGCAAGATAAATGTGAATTTAATAACTTCACTTGAAAACTAAACTTTAGCAGGGTCTCTGTAATACTTAATGAGCAATATCTTCGTATAAAAATTACGTACAAAGTTACATATTTTCTTCTTAAATTAATGAGCATGAGCAACTCCCTTCCATCGCCATTAAGAAAACCCATCTGATTATAACTTTTATAAGCCCATGGCAGATTAAAAAGGAAAAAAGAAATTAAAATAGCATCCAAATATAAAATAATTATGGTCTTTAGTATCATTCAAAGTAATATTGTAGAAAAAGAATAAAATTTGGATTACACCACTTTTGCGGTGATAGCCTCATTTATGATTAGAGGTGAGCGTTTAAACGAAAAGCACTTAAAAAAGTTTTCTTTTTTAATAAGCACTTAAGCACGCTTTTTATTTTAAGAGTAAGTGTTGGTCAGTTCCATATTCAACAATTTCATTTTTTATCACATGCCTAAGTTTCAAGCCCCGTCATTCATGTTTCTTAAACAAATTAATTCGTCAATGTGAATAATAAATTTATAAATAAAAATAAAACTCTTGTTTTACAAATAAACTTACTTAGTCTACTCATGCTTTTCGCTATCAACACAATGTTGCAACGTTTTTTTAACATAAAAGACATTTTCTAAAAGATTTTTTAAGCTTCAAACTAAAAAGCGTTTAAGTGAAAAGCGTCTAAAAAGCACATTTTTTTTAAAAAGCTGCAACGTTTAAACGTTTCTAAAAATAAGCACTTTTTCCCATCTATATTTATAATATTAATCTTAACGTCATGTCTGTGATCAATTTTGTTCAATAAAAGTTTTAATTCACTAATAAGTGATATGAAACGAACAAACGACCACTAATTAATTAATTATTTATAAAACTGTTAGTGCGTTTGCGCATTACGTCCGATTCGTATTAGTTCCGAATCCGAGAAATGATGAAATGTCATAGGCATGCATTGACCTACTAATAAATGGACATCGGGTCTAATACAAAAACCACGAAAAAAATATCCGAAGTTAACCTATACAAACGTAGTGACATGTAACGAAATATAAAAAACTAAAACATTCAATTTAAATTGTAACGTCATTGCAGTACTGCCTAATTTTGCTTGGAACAATTTAAGGGCCCAAAAACACCATATTCAGCTTCTACTGGAAACTTAACAAAATGCACCATATTTAACTTCGACTGAAAATTACTTGAACACAAGAGTAATGGAGTAGCCTTTATCGTAAATATTAATTAATTTTTGTATATTTTATTATGTCGAATTTTGTACAAATTCACTTAAGGATTATAATAAAGAGTTGGGCAGATACATACATACATACAAATATTACTACAAATGTAAAAATAAGCGTGTACTATAAGAAATGTGCCGATATTCCAACTAAACGTAAACTCAAATATCCGTAATTCAGAAAACTGATTTATAATAAAACCGTTACGCTTTCGAGTAATTATGATGCTTTTCACAAAGCCAAAATTAGCTTTTGTTTTGTAATCTTCGTAAAAACACATTATGAAAATTCGAGAAAATTCGGGCAAATGTATTTTCTGACTTCCGATAGGTAATTCCAAGCCGTAAAGCTAAGTTTAAAATCAAAGCGACTGTATAGTTTCTTTGTTTTAAATATTTCAATCACTTGTTAGCTATTTGATTATTTTGTGTGCTTTTGTTATTTATATTTACGATTCATTTATATATAAATTAAATACTATAAAACTGTACAAAATAACACTTTTGAATGAGAACTATGATAACACAATACAAATAGATACAAAATCCTGTTTTTACACTTTACAGCAGTAATTTTTACAAGTCATTATTTTGGTACTGCATGATTGAGAACCGCGCTGTCAGTCGAACAAACGTCTTCGTTAAACTTAAACTGTTGTGCGATTGACGCTCTGTATGCAATTTTAACGCCCTACAGGTGCGGACACTTTTTAACGCGAACCCGACATCCATTTATTGGTAGGTGAATGGTCACAGGGATCATTTTATCATTAGGTGTGCAAGCGATTCGAATCGGACATCTGAAGTGAATACGAGTTTTCTAGATTTGGATAGTCTAGGATCCGGAACGAAAACAAAACGGATGCAGTGTGCAAACGCGCTTATCCCTAATTTTTTTTTATTTGAAGGCGAAATTACAAACGTACGAATTCAAGTAGCAATACAAGTACAAAATCGAAAATTGATGCTGGATTCATCCAACCTCATATGTAGTTCGTTACTGTAAAATAAAATCGTACAATTTTATTTCTTTTTATCGACCGTCACCTACTAATCTAACATGTACATAACTACAAACATGTACATGTTAGTAGGTGTTATATTATTTAATTATTTTATTTATAAATCATACATGTCAATAGATATTTTGCACATTGTATAATAATTAAGTATTACTTCTACATAAGCCTACCGATTTAAATTCTGATTAGGCGTTATTACATGTCCGGTCTACCTTGTTATTGTAGAGTTAGGCGCTCCGCAGATGGAGCAACTTTAGTTGACTGCAACTGGCAACTTTTTACAAGTTTTCATTAACGGTTGCCAGTTGTAGCAACTAAGAGGCCTAGTTGTGGATTGCCGCAATTTTAAATAAACTTTCGAAATCCACGGAAAAGACTGAGGCTGCGGAGACGGGAAGGGAGTGAAGTTGCTTTACAAGTTGCGGTTGCTGGTTGCGGAAACTGGCAACTGGAGACAACCAGTACAAATTTGCAAGTTTCTAGTTGTAGTTTCTAGTTTATTTAATCACGGATTTCTGCAATCGAAAACTGTAGTCGATTGCCGAAACTCTCAACTGAAGTTGCTATTTCTGTGCGGTTTGTTGAAATTATATGAAAAACGTCATAAACAGCTAGTTGCGGGTTGCCAGTTGCCGATACTCGATGATCAAAGTTGCACCATCAGCGCAGCGCCTTAAGTGTGCATTTAGATTATTTACCTGGTGCAGCGCCTCTTCCTGCTGCGCGTCGCGGTCGGTGCGCACGGCCACCTCGACAGTCATCGCACGCGCTAAAATGCGGTCCGCGTACCGCGTTATGTCATCTTTATCGCCTGCACAACAAACACATTTCCTTAAATGACTAGCCGTTTCTGTTTTTCTTTTATAAAAAATCCCATACAAAATTGACAATGACCATGCGCTACGTATCCATAGTATAAGTATAGTATGTCCGCATATATATATATAATATCAATTGATGAGACGAACCAGTCTGACCTGAGGGACACTGCCACTGCGTCCGTCACCCTAAGACGTAAGTTGTAAAGTCCCAGTTGCCTGTAACTTCACCACCGCCCTTGCACTTTAAAACCGAAACGCAGTAATGCTCACATTACTGCTTAGCGGCAGGCAAGGTAGCAGTACTTCCCTGGATGAACTTTTTCACAAAGACCTCTACTGCTACTAAAATATATAATTATGTATCTATGCTGATGATCCTAAAAAGTGGTCTATATATAGACCCCCAGGGGTTCACTCCAACCAACAACGGGTCCATGTCAACGAAGAAAAGAGGGTGCATGAGACGTTAATCAACGAGAAAGGAACCCATTAGTGTCTTTTAGTCATATAGCCATTTAGTTAGGTTGTGGCCAAAAACTTGAGTCAAAATCCATTTATTTATGAAAACACAGGCTGTAAAGAAGTTGACATGTACGAAATAAGTATAGTTTAACTGTGTCTAGCCACGCATTAGAAGCGTCAACACCATTGACCTACCAACAAATGGACGTCGGGTAGACCCGACGTACCGTCAACTGTATTAGAATACAAAAATCACGAAAAAAATGTCCGAAGTTAACCTATACAAACGTAGTGACATGTAACGAAATATAAAAAACTAAAACATTTAATTTAAATTGTAACATCATTGCAGTATTGCCTAATTTTGCTTGCAACAATTTAAGGGCCCGAAAACACCATATTCAGCTTCTACTGGAAACTTAACAAAATGCACGTTATTTAGCTTCGACTGAAAATTACTTGAACATAGGAGTAATGGAGTAGCTTTTATCCTAAATATTAATTAATTTTTATATATATTATTATGTCGAATTCTGAAAAAATTCTTTTGAAAAGTTGGGCAGATACATACATACCAATATTACTACAAATGTGAAAATAAGCGTGTACTATAAGAAATGTACCGATATTCCAACTAAACGTAAACTCAAATATCCGCAATTCCGAAAACCGCTTTTGTTTTGTAATCTTTCTAAAAAAATACATTTGACGTTATGAAAATTCGAGCTAACGTTATTTCGGGCAAATGTAGTTTCTGACTTCTGATAGGTAATCCCAAGGCGTAAAACGAGTACGACAATATTTTTTTAGTTATTGCTAACGTTTAATAAAAAAATCATTTAAAAAATAAGATTAAAATCAAAGCGACTCTATAGTTTCTTTGCTCTAAATATTTCAATCGCTTGTGGTTTGAACAATTGAAAATGACTAAGAAGTTTATATAAGCTTCTTGAAATTGGCGTAATGGGTCTCTTTCCATCTTTTGCGCATGCAATGTGCAGAAAAAGGACAGTTAGCTATTTGATTATTTTGTGCGCTTTTGTAATTTATACTCACGATTCATTTATACATAAATTAAATTAAATACGATAAAACTGTACAAAATAACACTTTTAAATGAGAACTATGATAACACAATATATTTGTTTAGTGACAATATGATACAAAATCCTGTTTTTACACTTTACTGCAGTAATTTTTACAAGTTATTATTATAAAGTACATGTGATTGACAACCGCGCTGTCAGTCGAACAAACGAAGACTGTTGCGCGATTGACGCTCTGTATGTGATTTTAACGCCCTATAGGTGTGGGACACTTTTTAGCGCTACCGACGTCCATTTATTGGTAGGTCGATGGTCAACACAAACGGAATACTCCACATTACACAAACAGTATCTAAGTACTCACTTAATACTTTCCTATTGTAGATATAAAATTACTTACATTTCACAACACATTAGATATTCGATTAGACACATTTTTAAAACTTATGTTCATTTGTTGTAAAGTTTCTCACAATACAGTTAAACTTATCAAAGTTATTAGCATTGTGCCAGCTGTTAAAAAAACATAAAAGTAGCAGAGGTTCTATTAGACAAAAAAGTTTGGGAACTTCTGATCTATGCAGACATACTATGCTAAATATGTGGAGCTTGTAAATATAATATTGTATATTATTATATACCAAATACCACTACCTCGCTTACGTTATGAATAATTATGATAATTGGGATGGATGTGTGTCGTTGTGCACAACTGGATAAGTTATCAGTATACAGTATAGTAGTTGCCTTTACTACACATGTACATTACTTGCGAAAGCGAAGTAATAGCATTGATTCTATTAACTAAAGCATAAAAGCTATAATAGCCCAGTGCGAGAATGGTGGCTTTTTTACGATATCAAGTGAGGGAACGAATAAGTCGTGCGCCTGGTGGTAAGCGACATGCCTGTCCATAACAGTTGCAGTGCCGCTCAGAGCTTTAAGTCGCAAAGATCTGAGGGGCATTGCCACTGCGCCCGTCACCCTGAGACGTAAATTGTAACGTCCCATGCCCTTTAAAACTGAAACGCAGTAATGCTCACATTACTGCTTGACGGCAGAAATACGTAAGGCGGCAATACTTACCTGGACAAACTTTCACAAAGAGCTCTAGGTACTGCTAGTAAACGAGAAGTCTTAGAAGGATCCATAACCCCTAACAATATAAAAGTATTGTGAAAGAAATATAATATATACAGCATAATACTAACATTCCGTGATATCATTAAGCAGATCCGAGTGTTTAATACTATCCAGAGTAGACAGCAAAGAGTCTTTCTCCTCCTCAATACGCGCCGTGTCTCGTCGCAGTCTTTCCACACGCAGCTCTACTTGGTCTAGCACTGCAATCAACCTGCAACAATAAAAAAAATTAAAACATTTACTTATGTTTTTTTTACGTATTTGAAATTACCGCCATATCTTGAGGATCTCATGGGTTATAAATGTTAGAAATGACGGCCGATTCTTCTGACTGGCTTCATGCGATTCTGTATAAGATAAGTGTGATATTACATATTACCTACCAAAATATATATTTTATTATAGAACAATTGGAATACAAGGACTACTGTGTCCTATTATTACTTATTATTGAAGTAGCAGTAGAGCTCCTTGTGAAAGAGTTTGTCTACTAGTACTGCAACCTAACCCATTTCTGCCACCAAGCAGTAATCTTACCATTACTGCATTCCGGTTTTAAAGGGTAAGGATGCCGGTGAAATTACAGGCACATGGGACTTGTCAACTTATGTCTCAGTGTGACAGGCGCAGTGACAGTGCCCCTTCGGTCTTGGCGGTTTAAAGCTCTGAGTGGCACTGTAACTGTTAAGGATAGGCGTGTCACTTAGCACTAGGCGCACGACTTGTTCGTCCCGTCACTTGATATTATTAAAAAAATACATTATATTTGTTAATATTGATTTGCTAATTTCGTCCCCTCCTACGTAAAGTATCGTATGTCGTATTTGCCAAGTTTACAGGGGAGTGTTTGAAAGTTTTGAATTCACTCACATGGCCATAACACGTAACTATCATTTCTCAGTTTTATTAGCAAAGCTTGTTACTCACATAGAGTATTATAAAATCTAGATATGGTTAGATGAACTACCACAATTTATTTTATAATAATACTCATTTCAGTGAATTCAAACCTTTAAAACGCTTCCCTGGAAAGTTGCCAATTTCAGCATACAATAATTTACGTAGGAGGGGTCAATTTGGTTTTTGCTAAACTTGTTTTTGACTAAGAACTTAATAACAATGGTCCTAATAAGTGTCCGATATACATAATTAACACAGCTGACATAAAAACAAAACTGTCTTGGTTAGTATGTATCATCATAATTAATATTAGAACAAGGAAGTTGTTAGCTCAGTAAAATTAAATCCAAATTCAGTTACTTTTGCACCATGCCTAACATTCAATAGATAGTTTCGTACATTTTATGGGAAAATTTAAATTTGCGGAAAATTGAGGAAAAACCTGTGACGTGTGATTGGAAAATAAAGTTTAATTTTAATATAATTTATAAAAAATCATAAGTAAACATTTATTACAGGATATTGAAGACTTTTTCAGTGTCCAATCATAGTGATTCCACATAATATTTGAATATGGACCAAAGTATGCCAGGGCAGGATAGGTCACTCCTGAATATCGACTATATATATAACCAGAAATAGACACGAAATAAGGGCCATATATTCCTGGTAACACATTAGCGATACAGCTCTTATAAATATCATCTCTCGTTTGCACTGAAATATAGACAGGCCAACTACTGACCTGTGTGTACATCTCTGTATATTCCAAAAAATATTCTGTATTTATTGTAATAAAGATAATATCTCTAACAATGCCGTGCTGTTCTATTCGATGGTGTGGGAAAAACAGCAAAATAAAATATCTAATTACAAAACAAACAGAATCACATTTCATCAGTAATTAAATATTATATACGTAATTTTGTAATTTTCACCCATTATAGCAAAGCTCAAGTTAGCTGGTCGATTTGAAGTGAAACAGTGCACAAGATTCGTCAATGTGTAGCCATCTCATCGGTTCATATGACGTGGCTCAATGCAGGTTGGTAATGAATCACACACAAGATGACGCCCAAATGGGGTATATGGCCATCAACATCAAAGTAGTGTTTTTCATTGAGACATTAAACCCTAAAAATTGCTGCCTCAGTAATATGATCTACGTTTTTGTTCCATTGCTACTATCTTTATGTCAACCAGGTAATTTGTCATTACTTGATAATTTTGATAATTAAACGAAAATCCTATTTATGTTCCTGACTCACCAGTTTTTGGATTTCTCAGTTAATGGATTTGTACTTATTAGTATCTTTCTATACATATTTTGTGAAAATGGCTTTGCGTACACTAGACCACCATTTTTATTTACCACTGTTATTTAGTTACAAAACTTACAATTAAAAAGATTCAGAACAAAAACTGATAAATCCAATGCATTTCAATGTTGTCTAGTTTCATTCAATGGATTTGTTTGTTTTTAAAGAGATTTTAGTGGTTGTTGGTCAGGTTGGATACATTATTAGTATAAACATGGAAAAAACTACCATTTCACATTAAAGAACCAGAAAATGTCTAAGTCGTATTCTAGAACTCTACTCAACGCTCCAGTCAGGATTGCACTGGAAACACAAGCACTGGAAATATGACCCTAATGGCACGGACTTGAGCATGATTTCGAGTGCTTTAAACCATACTCAAATCCTGACTTGAGCATTAAGTAGAGTTCTGGAATACGACCCTAAGTGTGACTTAGCAGTTTTTGTTCTGACACTCCTCAAATGACTTTAAAACTTTAAAAAATAAAAAACTTTTACTTTTACAAATGTTTTAGAACGTAATTTGACAACACCATTGAATAAACCTGTATAATACATAATAAACATGTAGTTAATACACATTAAATAAATATTCAACAGGGTCATCAAATAACTGATTCAATCCATGATGGGCGGGTGTATGTTGTGAATACTTGAAATTCTGTGAACTGATTTTAGTACTATACAAATTGTGAAAAAATTTGTCTATGGAAGTACTGCCACCTTACCTATTTCTGTAGTCAATTACAATTACTGCATTCTGGTTTTGAAGGGTAAGGGTGCTGGTGAAATTACAGGCAAATAGAACTTGTCAACTTATGTCTCAGGGTGACAGGCACAGTGTCAATGCCCTTCAGATCTTTGCGATATATTATTATTATTATTATTAAAGCCCTGAGAGGCTCTACAACTGTTATGGACAGGCATGTATGCAGCTTACCACCAGGCCCATGGCTTAATTGTCCCATCATTTGGTATTATAAAAAAATATGGATGTCAGGGAATTGAGAATGTATTTTTTCTCTTCTTATTGTTAACTCAGTTAATTTAGAATATATTTACAATAAATAATGTACAGACTGAGCAGGCACTATAATATAGTCTAAAACATTGATATTGAAAATCGTATATAAGAAACTACTAATTGAGACAAATATTATACACAAAAAGTCTATACTAATCTGAAAGCTTAATAAAAGTTCGAAGCTTACACATAAAAAAATCATTATAATAATAGGCACGTAAATCAGGCGCCCACGCCAATCACCATAGTCATGAACTTTTTATAACTAGATCGTTAAATGCTATGCCCATATCGGGAGGTTAATTTACCTAGAAAATTCAATAACTCCTTCGCATTTTCAGTGTTATTAATAAAAAAACCTTTACAGAGACAGGCAACAACAGAGCATAGCAACAACTGCGAGTAAATTTACCTGTCTTTCGGCGGCTGACTTCCCGTTGCCGACGTTTCGTCGATGAGAGGCAGCCGGGAACTTTCTCCACCATAAGAGAAATCTAACGCGTACTGATCCACCTCCATGTTTAGACAATCGACCGGTTTTGATAAAGCCAGATTTACTTTCGTTATCCACGACGATTTGATAAAAGATAAATAAGTACTATCCAGTAAATTCCACAGTTTTCCGGAGACGTCAAGTCAGAACCACCAAAACAAATTCGGAAATTCGGAATGTCAAACTTGTCAAAATGCGCCGCCAATTAATTACAGATAATATATATTAAAAACCGGTACAAAAACGATTTTTGGTAAATATAGAATAGAATCGATTAAATTTATCGATATAAACGATTTTATACAAATATTAATTGTTAAAGTTTGCAACGCATTCACACAACAATTAAACTGTTATTTTCGTATTATTACTTTATATGGCAATAAATTAAGGACACCGTACCCTAGTTTAAGTATGTTTAATAAAGAGGAAAAAAAATTACATTTTCTGTTAACTAAAGGGATCTGGCAACGTTTTCCCTTTGGAAAGCTATTCTTGCAGGACATCTGTAAATATGATAAAATTATCAAATTTCGAAAATAGGTTTGTTTGCTCATTTGGAAAATTACAACAATTTCCTTTCACTGGTTGGCTTTATTATCAGCAAACTGCCTCCGTGGCCGAACGGTTACCACGCTGGACTGCCACGCAGAGGTTCCAGGTTCGATTCCCGGGCCGGGAGAAATAAATATTTCTCCTGGCCCGGGGTGTATTTATTTTTACATACCTACATTTATTTTTCTCGTGAGTTTGGGTGTAATTTATGGTTGTCTATGTGTGTGTCCATAGCACCCGCGACACAGGGTTTTCCCTAGTGCGGGGCTGGGTGAATTTCACTTTCCGAATTTCAATGGCACTTTTCGAGTGATTTTTGTAAAACCCTTCTTTCTTTTGGTTTTAAGGTTTTAAACGTACAAATAAGTTCAAGCGATGTAAAAAATTATAAAATCACACAAATATTTAAGTTAAATACAACAAAAAACGATATTTGAAGTCACACGAATGAGACTGCAGTAATGCGAATGATTTTCTCATAAATATAAATGATAAAGACGGTACAGTAATGAGAAATTATTATTACAACACACATTTTATGGTTCACAAAAGAACATTTAACAACATTTAACAAGTAACAAATATTTTAATATTACTTCTTGTATCAAAATCCTTCTCATCCGTGTAAAACCATCTATCTATCTACATGTAATTAAAAATAAATCTAAATAAGTATTTTGTTAATGTCACATAAACTTTGTTGTACATCAATATATCATCATCATCACCATCAACATCATCATCATGATCACTATTATCATCAGCATCATTACCATTCACATCATCATCACAATCATCGTCATCATCACCTCCATCATCATCGTCGTCACCACCGGCATCACCGCCACTATCACATCTAATTGTTATATTTCAAGTAAATGTTTGGCTTAAAGTAACTATTTGACTTAAAAGTAGACAAGAATGATATCGACAATAATGATATTTGGATACATTTTTAATTGTCAAGTGTGTAAAATATGCTGGATCGTTATAAAAGTGCATGGATTTTAAAGTTCCCTTCGTCTAATTGATGTACAATAAAGTTTATAAAACTATTCTTAATACTTATTTAGATAGATTGCTTTACATGAATGAGAACGAATTAGTCACTAGCGCTGAAATTGGTATTTAAGTCGATTTTTTGCTAAAACAGAGATGCGCAGGTTACTTCACTGTGTACACTCCAATCCAACAGGAGCCCCTTCTTACGTGTGCGAAGGGTGCAGGTGATGCGGTATGAACTTTGTTATTAGGAGGCTTATAGTTGAATTGACACTAATGATAAGAAAAATTTAAACACATTTTATATTCCCAAGAAAACTTGTTTGTTTATAGTAAATTGGAAAGTTGCGATATGTAAGTTATTTGAGTTGATCCTCGATGGGAAATATTGCGATTTCCACGAGTGTTTAATTTTCTTCTTTTCTTAAAATTAGGGCAAGTGGAACTGGCGCCCATGAATGAGAAATTGCCCACTTTTTAATTTTTATTTATTACTGTGACATAGTAAAGTAGTGTTTTTATGTGTAACTCAGACTGAGTAAGCAAGCAATCATATTAAAAAAAATAATGCTTAGCATTCATGTAATGCAATCAAGATAAAAAAAATTCATGCAAGATGATACGGTTTACGGTTACTTTTACGGAGTTTGTCAATAACTTCCGGCAAACAAATGATCGTGTACCAATCACTATTCACGGTACAACGATTCTCCAAAGCAACAGTAGCCACGTGTCCAGTTTTATTAAAAAAAAAGAAACAATCATCCGCTTAGAGGCACTTTGCACGCGCGCCACTTTGGTTGATCTCGAGAGACCCATACACTCGATTGCTGCTTTCTTTTGGGATCGTAACTATAAATCCATGTTTCGTCTCCTGTTACTATGTTCCACACCAAATTTTACGCCCCTTCGTTGAATCTGGTAAGCATGGCATTGCACCAAGTGACGCGATCCGTTTTTTGAGCCTCAGTCAAATTGTGTGGGATCCATCGAGAGCACAGCTTTTTCACACCCAAATATATGTGTAGTGTTGATTGTATTTGACTCATGCCTATGCCTAAAGATGCCCGAATCTCATGGTATGTCACATGACTCTGTGTTGATCATACGGCGCACAGCATCGACGTTTTTGTTGTTCACAGCCGTGGACGGGCGACCATCACGAAATTCGTCACTGAGATTCACACGACCGCGTTTAAATTCTGTAAACCAGCTATAAATAGTCGTCCTGATGGTGCTTCATCGCCAAAAGCAGTTTGAAACCGAACGAACCTCCGCTGAGCGGTAACATTACACTTAAAGTCGTAGGAAATCATACTGCGAAAATTTTCACGAGTTAAATTAATTTCTAAAATGACGCCACAATGTAAAAACAAGTGACATTCAGATGAAACAAACTGTATTCTACAGCCAAAGAGTTCCATTTTCAAATGTTGTAATTACTTTTTCAATATTGTTTATGTAAGTGGCCAGTTCCGGAAACTTATAGTGCACCCTACAACACGGCAAAGGCATACTCTTTAGATCTTACGAAATCATATACAAATGTTAATGCTTCGATGCTTTTAGTTGACCGATGTCCGAAAAGAGTGAGTGGAATTATCATATACAACTAAGCACACACACTAAAATGTATAGAAAAGCGGGATACTTACCAAGGGTCTTTGAGGTTTGCCTCCACTAGCAAGTTTTGCTAATATGTAATGTATCTTAATTTAGAGCTCCAGTGAATATAAAGAATTCAATTAATAGTGCACGATTCCGCCATAAAGTCGACAGCAGTCTTGTATAGATACAAAAAGCGAATTTGAGCTCTAATTTAAAGATCTGGTCTGATATGCAGTACCTTCGGACTTTAGTAAAGACGCTAAATTTCTTGGCAGTTTGAATGGGGTAAACTATTTACGATTTTTAACGTAGATTGGTCTTAGAAAGAAGTTGGTTGACGATATGTGAACCTCGTAGTTGAAGGTGGCAAGACACAGCATAATTAAGCATCCGCGCATTTTGCTTTGGGTGTACGCGCCCAGGTCAACGAGTGCCTCTCGTAACAAATAAGGCAGTATAAGCCAAACAGACTCCGCTCGATTTTTTTGAGAGCTGCATTAAAAGCATTATTTATGCAGAGCATTTAGTCGGTCACTGAACTGATGTAGCATAATGTAGTAGAGCAACTCAATCATTTAGGTACGACTGGTGGGTGGACGTATTGTATTTACGGCATCGGGATTGGTATTTTAGGCCGTGTCTGTAATTGTGCGTTTTTAAGTAAGTTTTATCGGTAGTATGTAGAGTTAACGGTACTATTTCAAAATTGCTATAAATACCTTAGACGCCCAATTATTCACTACGCGAAAGTTTTCGCACGGCCGTGCGGCGACCGCCCAGATACCACCATCTACCACGATTTCCATGTAACTAAGGCAACAACATTTAAATTCCTCTGAATAATATAACCCCGCTGCCTTCGCGCGGCTTCACCAGGCCGCTGCGCGGCCGCCACGTAGATCAAATACAAGCCAGACTCGCCTGCGCCCCCGGGATGTTGATAGTTTAAGTTAAAACGTAAAAGCTAAATAAATAGAGCGTACTTTGCCATGACAGTTAGATGCACGAGGATCGCTGCAGGGCGGCAACGAGGTCTCCGCGCGGCGCGGGCGTGAGCGCGATGAAATTCTTATTGAAAAAATGCGCCCTAATACGTGCTTAATATTATTAGGTTCTGTGAAGTGCATATCAAGACACATCATATTGACAATTTCGACCATTCATGAAGCATATGGTAGGTATAGACTTGAATTTAAATTCTTGGTACAGTGCCGATTTCTACTATATCAAAATAGTCTTAAATAAATACGTATATTAATAACGCACCCCTCATGGAAGAATGACATATTATGTGGAGTTACGTCAAAAATGTTTATTGCTCCATTAGATATAGAAAGATATAATCTACACCGTCTACAATTCTTGTAGCTCTATCACAATGTTAGTTGATAAGAGTTACAAGAATTGGAGAATCTCGGATAATTTTCCGAGAGGTAATGGAGACGGGGCAGTCGGGGCCAAAATTTAATAAGTTGAGGTATGGTTTTAAACAAAGGGTTGTATATCTAAAAGCCACCTATAAGAAAAATGAGATTTAAGATGATCTCACACAGTGACAAATCCTCCACCAACCACACCATCACCAACTCTTGTTGGCTCCATCGTTTTCGTTCAGTAACTTCAACATACGTACTGTCTTCTCCTTAGTCTGCGGTTCAACTTTTGAGTTTTGTTTTGACACTTGGCGGAAATCAAAGTCAACGTCAAATGTGGGAAAATTAGAGGAAAAATATTGCAAACATTTCCGGAAATCATTTATTTTTCTGAAAAATACATATGATTTTTTTAATGGAAATTTTTCCATGACCCAACACTGAGTGAGATTAACTGAGAACCCCGGAAAGATTTAAAATTTACATTCATACTTTATTGTAACAAGAAAACATGTGATTTTTTTTGGTTAGCATGGCTGTTGGCTGAGATCGCCAAATTTCGTAGAAGTTCCAGTGATGATATAACAATACATA